GGGCGGGCCCTGCGGTCGGGGAGAGGGTTGGGGCCTTCGGGTGGGGCGGGCTCTGGGAGAGGGGCGTGGCCTGCGGACAGAGAGAGGGCGGGCCGGGGAGAGGGCGGGGTCGGCGGGGCGGGGCGCGCACACGAGGGGCCCCTGCCCACTCACAGCCGAGGGGCTGCAGCTCTTGTCGCCGTAGGTGAACAGCTCGTACAGCAGGACCCCGAAGCTCCAGACGTCGGACTGGCGTGAGAAGACGCTGTCCGCCAGGGACTCGGGCGCGTACCTGGGCCGGGCGCGGCCGTGGTCAGCACTGGGCTCAGTGCCTGGAGCGCGGCCGGGCTTCACCCTGAGCTGCCTCTGGGCCCAGCCTGAGCGGGGCGGGGAAGTGGGCTATGCCTGGCATGAGAGGGGCAGGGCTGGAAGAGGGTTATGTGAGTGGGCGTGGCCACTTTCCAAGAGGGCGTGGCTATAGTGGGGTGGGGCCTGACAACGGGGCTTGCGATGCGGGTGTGGCTTCTCGGGTCTTGGAGGGGCAGAACCAGTGTGGGCGTGGCTACCCTTGCAGCGTGGGCGTGGCCAGTGTTGTGGGCGTGGCCGCGCTGTGGGCCGGGCCTGAGCGGCAGGCTGTGAGGCAGTACGGGAGGGGCTGGGGCGGGCTGGCAAGCAAAGGGAGCTCACTGGAGGAGGCGGGTCAGCGCTGGTGGATGGGCAGGATCGGAAGGGGGAGAACGGGGCTGGAACAGGAAGGCCGAGGAGGGGCGGGAGGCGCGGGGCTATGGCTGTGATGGGCGGTACTCTAAGCGGGCGCCCTATGGGTCCCTACCAGAAGATGGGGCTCTGGCCGGGCTCGCGGACCACGTAGTAGTCTTTGTCGAGCGGCAGCAGCTTGGCGAGGCCGAAGTCGGCGATCTTCACGTGCGCCTCGCTCTCCACCAGGATGTTGCGCGCGGCCAGGTCGCGGTGCACGCAGCGGCGGGAGCCCAGGTACTCCATGCCCTGGGGCGGGGCGTCGTGAGGTTCCGCGGGGCCGGGGGCTCCTCGCCCCGCCTCCCCGCACCTCCCTCCGTCCCGTCCCCAGCGCCCGCACCTTGCAGATCTGCGAGGCATAGAGCAGGAGGCGCCCCGCGTCGAGGCGGGCGCGGTGGCGGCGCAGGAAGTCGCGCAGGCAGCCGCTGGGCAGGTACTCCATGACCAGACGCAGGCTCTGGCGGCCTGGGGATGGGGTGGGGTCAGTGCGCCCCCAAACCCGCTCGCTCCCTCACCCCAGGGGTCGCTCTCGGATGGCGCTCTCACTACCGCGGGAACAGTAGCACACACGCTGCTGTCCACAGCTGTATGCCCCCAGCCCGCGCATCTCCTTCAGACCAAGATCAACTGGGGAAACTGAGGCTCTGGTGCGGGCCCCGGCCGGAGCCGGGATCCGAGCCCGGGCCCCTGAGTCTAGACCGTGGAGCAGCACAGGTGGCAGGCGCGGGGCAGCCAGAGGTGCGCCTGGGAGGGGGCGGCCCTGGGCCCTGCGGCCTCCGGCCGCACCCACCTGGGCCGTAACTGACGCCGCGGTACTTGACGATGTAGTCGCTGTGCATGGCTTTAAGAATCTGGATCTCGCGCTGGAAGTCCCTCTGCTGGTCCGGGCCGCTGTGCTGCAGCTGCTTCACAGCCACCAGGGCGCCGGTGTTGTCTCCCAGCGGGTCATAGCGGCACAGCTCCACGCTGCCGAAGTTGCCCTGAGGCGGAGCGCGGCTGGTGGGTTCCTGGGAGCCCCGCCCACCCGCGCCCACCACGCCCGCCAATCCACAACTCCCGCCCACATGCAGGCCACACCCACTACCCCACAAAGTCCCGCCCATCTTCCCAGCTCTACCAATAGGCTCCTCTCATCGTGCAGCAGGCCCCGCCCCCGGCCCGGGGGGGGGGCCGTCCCCACCTCACCTTGCCCAGCTGTGAGATGTATTTGAGGTGTCTCTCCTCGAAGATCGTGGGGTCCTGGCAGGCGTAGAGTCGGGCGCTGCTCCAGAGCCCATCTCGAGGCTCCAGGCCGCCGGCTGTGGGGTCTGCGAGCAGCTCGTAGTCTGGGGGCGGGACGGCAGAGTCTCCTGAGGCAGGCCCCAGCACCCTAAGTCGGGCCACCCTGAGGGGGTGCCGCCCCAGCCGCCCACGGCATGGGGGCACGGAGGGCCGCTTGCGGGGACCTGAGCCTGGCGGGGACAGCAGGCCACGCGTGCTGGACGGGGCCGGAGGGGGAGGCCGGCCGGCAGCCTCCGACTAAAAGGAGCTCCAACCCGGTCCACGCCTGCCGCCCCAGCTACTCAGGAGGCCGAGCGCGGAGGATCTCGGTTCAAAGCCAGCTCCGGCAGCAAAGCCGTGACCCTTATCTCCCATTAGCCACCCAAGAGCCCAAAGGACGCTGTGGCTCCAGGGGTAGAGTGCCAGCCTTGAGCTAAGGAGCTCGGGGTCAGCGCCCAGGCCCCGAGGTCAAGCCCTGGTATGGACACACAAGACCAACACTATATTCAGTGCGGGGCCTTGGGTACAGGGGCTGCCGCGGCCCACAGACCGGGCAGTCACGGCCTTCCTCCTCCACGCGGGAGGCTCCGTCCTGCGGGGCCAACCTGCGTGCCC